ATGACTCTACATAGGCGTATTGCGCTAGGGATAATGCCAGTCCTAGACGAACTCATTACTATGAATAGATGAATGTGTTGCGACTGTGATGCTTCTATTCCTTTTTAGCTGGACTGGTACACAGTGACAAATGGTGGGAAGATTGGATGCTATGACAACAGTTACAGCAAGTATCTCAAAAAGTACACGGACACCTCTTACACTGATATCGATGACGTCGGTGAGCTACTAATCGCACACGATGATTGATTATCCACGCGGACTTTCACACTGAAAGAACGTTTTCCGAAGGATCTGAATCTCTGATAGCTGTCTGAATGACACAGACTGTCAACGTGCTTCATCAAAATTGTGAACTCTAAAAAGGAAAGTGTTTGGTGCGCTGCTGCGAAATGGGTGTGTGTCAAGTGGTACGAATGGAAATCTTCGGCACTCAATTAGTGCTCCCTCGCGACTAGGCGCTAGTGTTCTGTGGGAGAGACGCGCCGTACTTATCCAAAATTGGTGTAAAAGATTAACGAGCAAAGAATTCGAAGCGAAAAAGGTGATTCCAAATGAAATGTAATTATTGATTCATTAGTGTTTTTAACATTCTGACTCCTTTCACAAAAATCAAAGTGAAAATTGATGCTCTATTATATTATTACCAGTTTAGCTCCGCCCGCTACCGCGCGCATTGATAGAACTGACAATCGATGAAGCTTTAGGTTTCACCGCTAAATTATAGCTGCTTCGTTAAATGTATTACTGTCCGTTGCATAGGCTGCCCATCTTGGCTGTATCTCACTGTTTGATAAGCGCAGTGAAGTGCACAGCTAAAGTGATGATGTAAACAACCACTATGCGTCGAGTATCGAAGGTAATTTAGTCGGCGTCGAATATCTCAAAACGGAACGCCCAGTATTCATTATCATATTTATTCGAGCATCCCATTCATCCTCAAGAACTCTAGAAGGTGTAGCGGTCGAAAGGTGTTTGATTTACAATTACAACGCTGATGAAATGATATTGAAATGAAAGGCATTATCTACAATCTGCTCTCTATTTTCTATTTCAAGTGCTCTCTACGTTCGTATGCATATCGTTACTATCAGTCCTCATCAGTCATTATCACTTTTTGACCCCCACCAAATATGTTTGCGTCCCACCCCCTATATCATGTCCCAAAATCAGCTCCTGACGACTATTGGTGCCCGAGCTATGAATTTCGCGAAACTTGCGTTCTAGCGCCTTTTATCAGCCCTTATCAGTTGCTATCACTTTCTGTACCCCACCAATAATATAGTTGCGTCGTCAGCCACTCCTCCGATGATCATATTCCAAAATCTCAGCTCCGGACGAACTGCTGCGAGAAGGCACACCATGGAATGTTTCGATGTAACATTCTGTTATTTCAGCCTCGTATCTACTCTTATCAGTCGTTATCACTTTGTGACCCCCACCAAATATGTTCCCGTCCCACCCCCTATATCATATCCTGAAACCAACTCCTGACGACCACTGGTGCCCGAGCTATGAATTTCGCGACACTTGCGTTCTAGCGCCTTTTATCAGCCCTTATCAGTTGTGATCACTTTCTTTACCCCACCAAATATGTTCCCGTCCCACCCCCTATATCAGCCCAGTATCTGAAGACAACTCGGCTGCAGGACACGTTGGTGCTGCCCGGGCTATGAATACGCCGGTAGACAAGACAAACACATACACACAAGGACACGACACCGCGCAGCAACCCGCCGGTTAACCGATGATATTAATGGGTGGATTTTGTACTGCTATGTCGGCCCGCCGGTGTCTTCGATTATAATTTGTTATAACTGCTATTATTTCTTTCACTTACTTTACTATTTAGTTACTATACGTTCTAACTTGGTTAGGAAGATTAGTGGACGAGCACAGAAAGACATCCAAAGTATGCTCATCTCATATTGGGTTGTCCCATAATTGCTGTCCGATTTTTGATCAAATTCAAATTTCTTCAAGTCAAATTAGTGTCATTACGAAATATGTTGGTATGTCAATGAATGCATCTAGATCCGTTAGCCAGGACATTTTGGAAAGGTCAATCCGCATCGGAATAACTGAGTAGAAATCGAAATAGAGCCGTGACAAAACGAACTGCTACGCTCTATAATCCTTAGATAGACGCTGTTGCGAGGACACTAGAGAAGATCAGATCTATGTTTGGCTCAGTCTCTGCTACTGATCCGTCACTGAGCTGGGAGTTCGCTCGCAATGGCAAAGACAATACATGGATGTATCATGTTCTTTGCCTTGCAGTAGTTGATTGTAATTCTTGTGATTTTAGGGTCGATCTGATGATGGCATCATTGCCAAAAACTCACCAAAAAATATAAGACCAGAAGCTTTAAGAACATCTTATTGACGCTATATCAAATGAGGTCCAGTGATAGGCAGCATCCGGTCTCACCAATAGCACATTAGAATTAGCTAGTCAATGAATGGACAAAGCGCACGGAAGGACGGATAGGGAATTGGGGTCCCCCAGACAGTGGGCGATTTGTCCGCGGGATCACAGAGCCGAACAGTCCTGCGACTAGTTGCAGTGCGTAATCCTCTTTCTATGTTGAGCCGGTAAAGGCTCTCAGAACTGGTATTAGAGCTCGAATCACCGCGAAGACCATTAAGGCTCGATGATTCTCTCTCTCGGCCCCTAAGGTTGCATTGACTCACGAAAGTGCTCTCTACGCCATTAAGGCCAAATTTCTGAGCCACTGAAGCTCTGTTCACCGCGCCGCAAGCGCTGAAATCTAAAGAACCGCTCCAATCCCGAACTTGCGTGAACCTTTTTCATTAGAGCTTTTCTGCGCGAATGGCTGCCCTACGGCAAGGTGGTCTCCAATGGCTCTGTTCAACAAATACTGCCCTCTCCTCCACCTACAGCTTACCTCTTGAAGCCGGCGTGTCCTTTTCTGACAATTGCACCCTCGTAATTGTTGTTACATATTCTACCAACTGCGACATTTTTTCGAGGAAAACACTCGTGGTATTGTTTTTCATTTATTCGTGAGGAGAATGCTATCCAATCATGATACGATTTTGTACTCTAGAATGATTTGCTGTTCACCGGATCTATTGAACATGATCACAGGCATACGATTTGTGGCCGAAACAAGAACTGTATTTTTATCCTTGGTTGAGCAGAATCTGCAAAAGTTAAATCAACATTTGGGACGGCACTGTGGTTCTAAAAATGAACTCACCGACAGCCAGTGCGCGTTGGTCCTCACTGGATTTAATTTCAACACCCCCTAAAACGCAGCCCTCGTGATCATAGCCGTGTGAAATCGCGTTGATCTTAACTTCAATTCTTTTTCCTTCAGGAGCCTGAAAGGTGTTGCATTTTACACAAGAAAGAATGGCGAATGGACGGTAGATCATACTTCAATCCAGTAATTGCAGAATTGGTAGTCATCTCGCATATCGGACGGGACCTGTCCGTGACCGAGTTTATTGATTAGAGAATTTGCTTCTTATCCGTCGCTGTCAAAGTTTGTCCACATCCGGCTGGCTGAAAAAAGTCTTCACTGCCGACTTACTCTCACCCTATCAGCATCCTTGCCTACTCGTTCATGCAACTAAGCCTGCAGCACGTAACATTCTGGACAGATACATTCTGAGCATTTTCGTGGGTGAGGGAATCCTCCATTCTGGCACTGGGCTGAGGTCTCTTGCGGACACTTTGCTAAATAGCAACATTTTTAGCAGTTTTTGAGTAGCAGTCATTTTGGCGTTATGTGTACCTTTGCACTCGTAATGCTCGTTGATCAGGGACTTGTCAAGGAACGAAAGGATATGCGAGCCCATTGTTTTTTGGTACATTGTGTCATGCTATCATTGTAGGTTCGCCGTTGCGAGTAGCACTGAAATCATCAAGCATATTACTTCAACTCTGGTAGGTGTTATTTTTTTGTCTACCTGGATGCTCCATAGTGCATAATACTACCATAATCGTAAGTGAGGCCGTAGTTATCAGTTGTTTCCTCGGTCTGTGGGATGTATTGATCCACAAAATTATCCTGAGACGGTTTACTTACGTTCTATGGTTTGTTTGTGATAGTGTGCATGTGATGACTTACTACAACATTATCGATGACCGACTCGGCTTATGCAAATCGTCTCGATCAGTGCGTGACATGATATGGAGAGCTTCAACGTGGTATGACCAATCTTCGTGCGTGTAGCAATTCCTCATTTTCATCAGACAGGAAGAGTGCAAGAAGTGAGAAGTGCCATGTCTCGTAGGCTTTAATAATTTTTGAAATATCATCACGTGAAACGCATGCTTGCATAAATTTCAATTTTTAATGAAGAATATGTCAGTTTTGTATAAATGTAGCACTTTAATGGATAGCTCCTATGAACTCATGAAATTCTTCTGCCAATGTCAGATATTTACTACCAGCTTGGCTCCTATCGCTATCGCGCGGCAAAGTACGCTTCAGTAGAACGGTGCATAGCCTTTCTCGTTGTATAAGGTGGCTTTCAATGAATTTGATTGGTGTTACAAATGAAAGGTTACTATGGGCCAACGCCTCAAAGTCGCTGAGACGCATGCAATGATTTCGTGACATTTGCATTCTAACGCTCCTTATCAGCCCTTATCAGTTGTTATCACTTTCTGTACCCCACCAAATATGTTCCCGTCCCACCCCTATATCATATCTTGAAATCAACTCCTGACGACCACTGGTGCCCGCGCTATGAATTTCGTGACAGACAGACGGACGTACACACACACACAGACACACAGACAGACATACTTAGCGAATTATATATAGTGGGGATAAACAACTCATGGCCTACTGAACAATCCATCTTCATTTTGATACCCATGAAGTGCACCTACAGTTTCCTCACCATCACGTTTGAAATTCGTAGCTAACTGATTGAGCTGAAATTTTGAACACAACGCACACATACAACGATATTAGTTCCTGTGCAAAGGAATGGGAATTCTATTTCTCCCAACCAGAACACAAATATTCAATAAAATCTTAATTTTAGCTTATAATTATACAGTATATATATACTATACAGCTCGGTGCAATTCCCCAATTTCACCCTCAAAGAAAGGCCAGACACACGAAATTTATCTGAATTTGTAGAGAAGCAGAAAAAAGTTTTTGGTGGTCAATCCAATATATTCATGAAAATCTATATTAATTATAAACTGCTGTAAATACTTCATTACAAAGCAATACTGCTTAGAGATTGGAAGAAAAGACAATTTTTTCCTACGAAAACTGTAAATGTTTAAAATTAAATTTTCTCGCGTAAATGCTCTTAATAGTATCAAAACGGTTCGTTCATTTCATGACCTGTCCTCGTTGCAAGTCAGGTGCTCAGCTTTGGTGTAATTACTCATTCCAGTTTCTGTGGCTTCCTGCTGTTCACTCTTTGCCGGCACTTCTGTTATTATTGTTCTTGTTTAGCGAACAAGTGAATCGCCGGCAAAGAGGTAGACGTCAAGAGCTACAGATGTTGAGCAAGGAGATAAACAACAAATGGTCTCTCCTGTAGCAGAACATACACCTTTCTTGCCATACCTATGGCAAGAAAGGTGTTATGTTCTGCTA